CCGTTATTATTGTCCGGTCGGAAACAGCGGGAGGGTCCAAATTCAGAGGCTGCGTCCACCTGAGGACCCGGCCTTCGCGGTCTAAGTGGGCCGGGTCCTCCGAAAGCCAGGTAGACCGGAAATGAGCGACTGTGGTCGATCTAGCCTTCAGAATTACGTCACGAGCTCTCTCGGTGGAGTGAAACTGCCGTCTGCTCCTTGCTATCTAAATTATAACTATTTCTAAATTATAAACTCTCGACCATCTCACGCTTCTGTTTAATCAGTTTTCCGTTTGATGTTTATTCAGCTGTGTGAAAACCGTCCCGAGGGATTAATAAAGTTTTATTTAATCTAATCTAGTAACTTTAATCACAGCCAAACCGATTTACTCAGGAAAAAAAACACTGAAAAAAGTCAAACAATAACACGTATGAGTTATTTAAGTGACTTATATATAATGTTTAACCTGAGTAGCGAAAGTCCGCAGAGATTTGAAGAAGAGACAGGAGTTTGCTGTTCTCCCCGGCTCAGATATCTGAAGTTTACATTCTCGCCTGAAAATATGTTAAAAGTGTATTATGCGACCCAGAAAGAGTAATAAGAGCAATATTAAAGCTAAGTAGCTGCAGTAGTAGTAGCCATTGTTGGAAACTGGAATTGGCTGGGCCAATCTGGGATATGGTTTTTCAATTTTGTTGTCAGGGTGGAAAATCGGGAGAAATTCGGGAGAATGGTGGCTCCGGGAGATTAGGGGCACTGAAATTCGGGATTCTCCCGGAAAAATCGGGAGGGTTGGCATGTGTGCAATATTTTTGACTATTTTAAAGAAAAAGCAGTAAAGATGAAAAGAAATAAATAAATAAGAAAGAAAGAACACATAAAAATGTTTGTGACTATTCTGTGAGGTAAGTGGTGGAAGAAAACAGTTTGATTACGAGTTAATAAACAGAGATATATAAAATGCAACTTTTCAGGTTAAAATCAAAGAACTATTTCACTCTGAGGTGTTATTCTTATTTCATTCCACTAGATGTCACCAAAGTAAGGTTTAAACCAACAGAGAGCAGGAAGTAAGGACTGCGGTCAGAGACGAATGATCCAGGGGCGTTTTAAGCTCATTTTAATCAAAATGAATCAAAGCACCCCCAAAGATTTCTTACTTTTTTGACAATATTTGGTACAGGATAGTGTCATATTTCTTGTGTGATACACTACAAAAATATAGAAAGCATACAGTACTTGGTTGAGATGTAATATTTTAACAACAAAAGTATAGATAACCCCCCCTCCCAAAATGGTTTGTTCCAGCTCGCCTCTCCTCTGCTCTGGCTCTAGCGCTCTTGCTGCCAGAGCGATGGTGGTAACCACAGACAAGGCTAATAAAAAGGTACTGGCTGAAGCATATGCTCACAACAACACACGCCACCATGAAGAGTATATTTATACTGTCAACAGAGAAACACTCATTAATTACAGGCAATCTTTTTCTTAACATATTTTCATGGCAGATGAGTTTTGTCTTTCCTTCTTTCGTTCCCC